CCTTTTGCATATTTTTATATTGTTTCTGAATTCCACTTGGGGGCAGGGATGTCCTAATGCGTGGGCCTGGGGGCCCAATGAGCAGGGCCGGGACAGGGGGGTGCATTGGTGATTTGGCCACTTATGTTACCCCTCTGACAGGAGTATTTGCAATGTCACTTATCAGAAGGAGCAGTGGCTAACGTCCCTAAGGGGACACAGTGGTGGGGCCAACGTCCCTAAGGGGACACGGTGGTGGGGCCAACGTCCCTAAGGGGACACGGTGGTGGGGCCAACGTCCCTAAGGGGACACGGTGGTGGGGCCAACGTCCCTAAGGGGACACGGTGGTGGGGCCAACGTCCCTAAGGGGACACGGTGGTGGGGCCAACGTCCCTAAGGGGACACGGTGGTGCGGCCACCCGACCTAAGGGGACACGGTGGTGGGGCCACCCGACCTAAGGGGACACGGTGGTGGGGCCACCCGACCTAAGGGGACACGGTGGTGGGGCCACCCGACCTAAGGGGACACGGTGGTGGGGCCACCCGACCTAAGGGGACACGGTGGTGGGGCCACCCGACCTAAGGGGACACGGTGGTGGGGCCAACGTCCCTAAGGGGACACGGTGGTGGGGCCAACGTCCCTAAGGGGACACGGTGGTGGGGCCAATGTCCCTAAGGGGACACGGTGATGGGGCCACCTGACCTAAGGGGACACGGTGATGGGGCCACCCGACCTAAGGGGACACGGTGATGGGGCCACCCGACCTAAGGGGACACGGTGATGGGGCCACCCGACCTAAGGGGACACGGTGATGGGGCCACCTGACCTAAGGGGACACGGTGATGGGGCCATCCGACCTAAAGGGACACGGTGATGGGGCCATCCGACCTAAGGGGACACGGTGATGGGGCCACCCGACCTAAGGGGACACGGGGCCCACGATGATAATAAGATGCCTTTGCTTGGCATGCTTTGTGTAATTAAGAGCACTTGAAGTCAGAACACAGTCTTTTTAGGGAAAGTATCACATAGGACAGGATGGGGTAACAGAAGTCTTGTTCGAATACAAAGAATCACTGTAACCTAGCTTTGACAAATGAAACATTTTACATCTTTTATTTACAATGCATATTCTAACAGTACAGAAAGTATTAGTGCACTGAGCCTTAAACACCAATTCTGAGCAAATAAAAAAAAATATCCCTTGCCATGGGACTGCACCTACACTGCAAGAATTGCTTGTTTAGGTCCAGGGGAAAAAAAAAAAAAAAAAAAAAAAAAAATGAAAAAAGTACTTCCTTGATCCTCTGCTCCTCTCTGTGGGTAGACCAATCTTCGCAGCCTCTTCTCCCTCACTCTCTAGGATCCTGACATCATCAAGACCAAAGCAGGGTCCACAGCATCGCACTTGACTTGATGACGCCAAGGAACAATCCACCACCAGAATGTGGCGGGGGAGCGCTGGGGGGAGTAGAGGATCAGGTAAGTACAACAGTTTCTCCTCTCCCCCCTAGACAAACCATGCAATTTAACCCTTGCATTGCAGACACAGCCCCACTACAAGAGATAATTGTTTTGGATAGAGTGCAGAGGGATTTGGTAGAGAGCCCCTGCCCATTCCACAAGGATACAGCCCGGGTACCCTATGAACATCTCCAGATTACCCCCTAGCACAAGCCTGGCATAAGATCTATTGTTGATTTAGTGCTGTCTGCGTGGGACTCTCATAGGCTAATTTGTCATTGGAACAATTTCTGCTGTCAGGTGAGAATGACAGACATTAAAAGTTCCCCGGGACACCAAACCACTCCCGGGAGGGGGGGGGGGGGGAGAGATGCTAGTGGGTGGCTGACTTGTAACCGATACTGTCATGTGTGCGGAGGAACAGAGCTAATATTAGGTGAAGCACCCCCTCTTTCTCTTGTATCTTTGTGAATACAGAGATGCTCTGTCAAAGCAGGCTTTTAAAGAACAAAAGCACTCTGGAATATATTGCAGTATGAACGTATTATGGAAATAATGTGGTTATGCAACCTTCAGAGGAAGCAACCACAAATGGGCCTATGGCTGTAGAGGGCAATCTCTGACCCTGACCTTTTCCCTGCTGTATCTAGAAATAGAAGGAACGTCATATTGAGCTTTATGTACAGAAATCAGAATCTCTCCCCCCCCCCAGAGATCAGGAAGAATGAAAGGCATTCATCTGATTGGCTGCCAGGGGCAACAATAACACCTTTAGACACTTATATATAAGGCTAGATGTGCTTTACATTAGCGGATTTGTTTACATGTGCGTTATTAAAGATCAAAGTAACAGGTTCTCCTATCAGTAGGACCCCTACCCGCTGATACTCACCTTTGCTGCGGTCTACTGCCACTCCATTTCTATATCAAACTGCCTAGTCCTGTGAGAGCCTCATGGAACATATAAAGAGTACATGTAGATGTGCGTCTAAATCTCGCTTGACTCTGAAGCCTGATCCACGTTTGGACTGCGTCTCACAGGGGGTAAGGATTATGTAAAGCACAGGGGATCAGGATTATGTAACGCACAGAGTACAGGGGATCAGGATCATGTAACGCACTGAGTGCGAGGGATCAGGATTATTTAACGCACAGGGGATCAGGATTATGTAACGCACAGAGTACAGGGGGTCAGGATTATGTAACGCACAGAGTACAGGGGGTCAGGATTATGTAGCGCACAGGGTGTCAGGATTAGGTAAGGCACAGGGGGTCAGGATTAGGTAACGCACAGGGGGGGTCAAGATTATGTAACGCACAGGGGGGTCAGGATTATGTAACGCACAGGGGGGTCAGGATTATGTAACGCACAGGGGGGTCAGGATTAAGTAACGCACAGGGGGGTCAGGATTAAGTAACGCACAGGGGGGGTCAGGATTATGTAACGCACAGGGGGGTCAGGATTATGTAACGCACAGGGGGGTCAGGATTATGTAACGCACAGGGGGGTCAGGATTAAGTAACGCACAGGGGGGTCAGGATTAAGTAACGCACAGGGGGGGTCAGGATTATGTAACGCACAGGGGGGTCAGGATTATGTAACGCACAGGGGGGTCAGGATTAAGTAACGCACAGGGGGGTCAGGATTATGTAACGCACAGGGGGGGTCAGGATTATGTAACGCACAGGGGGGGTCAGGATTATGTAACGCACAGGGGGGGGTCAGGATTATGTAACGCACAGGGGGTCAGGATTATGTAACGCACAGAGTACAAGGAGTCAGGATCAAGTAATATATATTGCAGGGGTCAGCAGTAACTTTCAGGATTTGAATTACCAAATACTGTATTGTTCCTCATGCTCCCAAAAAAAAAAAAAAAAAACAAAATCCCCCTCTTTGCCCCAGGCCTTCCTGCTGACATAATGGGACCATAGAAAATTCTGGCATCCAGTAACACCTTTTGTTTTAGAGATCAAAACAAAACCTAACGAAAAGGAATCTTGCTGCTGCAGTCTCCAAGAGGTGCAAGAAGCTGGAAGGACATCCCATCCAATGGTGAAAGTTAAAGTGAAATTTGCTCAGAAAATTAAGTCCTGCTGCATCACTTCAGGTTGGCCCATTTTGCATGTATAGATATATAAAACATTAAAAATAAGTGCCTATACTGTTTATAATTCAGCAATACACTGTCTCACTCTGCAGTGCACATGCTCAGTTGCTCTCTATTTTTCAACACTGTGCTGAATTTGTAGAGGACAGCCTAAAGATTTACTGCTGCTCAGGGCCCTTGACTTCAACAAAAGGGCAGGCTCCGGCAACAGGAAACAGGAGAAATGTTGGAAGTAAATTATACTAATTTTGACGTGGAATCTACGTTTCATACTAAAGAACATTTTTAATCAAATCCCACTTTAAATAAACTACTCTGTGCGTGAAAATTAAGAATGAGCCATGAATCAGGCACAGAAGAAGTGATGAAAAAAGTGTAACTAACCAACACACGTGTCTTGTCTGCATATATGGTCATCCTGGCCAATACTATCTTACAATTTCCTGTAAAAGTTCCGCCAGCGAATTTGTATCACAGTTCTGACATTGCTTTCACTTAGGAGACAACAAACAACTCCATACAAGACCAATTATAGTTAACCCATCTGTCCTCTTCTAGCTTCTCTCTTCTCTGCATTTCTGATTCATTCCCTCTGATGCTGACAGCGCTGCTAAATATACATTATAGACCTTTCCTTGGATTAATCTTGTGTGCTTATTGTCACGTATTACCAGGTGATGATAGTATTACCAGGTGACGATATAAGGGGGGGAGAAAATCAGGGGAGTGAGTTGGAGGGGCTGACAGGAGCCCTGGGGTTAGTAGTGACTCTGCGGTCACTAAAGCAATGATGTGGTCTCCAAGTGATACTAATGAGGTAAGTGTAGGAATGTGTGGGAGTTATAAAGTCAGAATTGACAGTGTGTGGACAGTAATGGCGGGTAGGTGTACAGTATATACTCTGCAGTTGATATGTTGATCAATGTACCCAACGGTGAACCACAAGACTGGTGGAAAGAATTAAAAACCTAAAGTGGTACTAAACCATATCTGCATTCTCCAAAAATAAGCTATTCACATCCACTACTTTATATATTTTTGATGAAATTCATTTTTACTGTGCTTTTATGCTTTCTTCTGTTACATAGTTTGGCTGAAAAAAGACAAAAAGTCCATCCAGTTCAACCATATAAAAAAAAAAAAAAAAAAAATTATAATCCTACACTCACAGTTGATCCAGAGGAAGGCGAAAAAAAAAAAAATCCCAGCAAAGCATGATCCCATTTGCTCCTGCATGGAAAAAAATTCCTTCCTGATCCCCCGAGAGGCAATCGGATATTCCCTGGATCAACTTTACCTATAAATGTTATATCCAGTTATATTCTGTGTATCCAAGAAACAATGTTCTCAATGAACCTCTCCTTTTCCCCCACATCTGTGCTTGTTTGTTGCAGTCACACTTTTCTAGGCACACTGCACACCCCATAGTCCACAGTCCCTAGGTCAGGGGTGTCAAACTGGCGGCCCTCCAACTATTGCAAAACTACAAGTCCCATTATGCCTCTGCCTTTGGGAGTCATGCTTGTAACTGTCAGTTTTATGGGTGAGTTTAATGGGTAAGCAGTAAGGACAAGCAGCTCTCACACAGGCAACCTCCTACTAGAGGCCACACTAATGCGTCTCCCCCTACAGAGCCTAATGTTAGAGACTCATGCGTTAGGGCAGGGGTGTCAAACTGGCGGCCCTCTAGCTGTTGCGAAACTACAAGTCCCATCATGCCTCTGCCTTTGGGAGTCATGCTTGTAACTGTCAGTTTTATGGGTGAGTTTAATGGGTAAGCAGTAAGGACAAGCAGCTCACACAGGCAACCTCCCACTAAAGGCCACACTAATGCGTCTCCTCCCTAAAGAGCTTAATGTTAGAGACTCATGTGTTAGGACAGGGGTGTCAAACTGGCGGCCCTCCAGCTGTTGCGAAACTACAAGTCCCATCATGCCTCTGCCTTTGGGAGCCATGCTTGTAACTGTCAATCTTGCAATGCCACATGGGACTTGTAGTTTGGCAACAGCTGGAGGGCCACCAGTTTGACACCTGTGCCCTAGGTACACCGGAGGAGTGCGCAAGAGTGTGTGGGTGGCCATATTCCTACATATAGTGGGACCATGGAGAATGAATGAAACCACGATCTAACAAGAAGACAGATCACAGCATTAACAGTGCTCTGCGTAAGGCTGTATAGCTCAAATACGTAAGCCTGTTTAACCGGATATAATATGTAGCCAATAAGGATTTATACTTTTGTGAGCTACCAACTTGATTTCATAGAAAAAAAAAAAAAAGGAAATTGCCATTTTGGAGTAAGCTTGCAATAGAAGGGACTTTGCCTTAAGAATATACAGTATTGTGCAAAAGTTTCAGGCAGTAGTGAAAAAAGTCTGTAAGGCCCCTTCCACACAGATGGGCTGATCGAGTCTGCCTGTCAAGTTTTTTAAGGGGACACTCCATTGTCCTCTATGGAGCGGCAACTATCACCCTGAGGTCCTCACAGAGGACAAGGGGTCACTCTTTACATCTGGAGGAAAAGAGATTTAAATTACAAACACGGAAAGGTTTCTTCACAGTGAGAGCTGTGAGAATGTGGAATAGACTCCCTGAAGAGTTGGTTGTGGCCAGCTCAGTGGATTGCTGTAGGAAAGTCCTGGATTCTTTCTTAGATACACGGAATATAACTGGATATAACATTTATAGGTAAAGTTGATCCAGGGAATACCCGATTGCCTCCCTGGGGATCAGGAAGGAATTTTTCTCCCAGCAAGAGCAAATTGGATCATGCTTTGAGTTTTATGCCTTCCTCTGGATCAACCATGGGTATACGATTATAATTTTTTTTTTTTTTTATGGTTGAACTGGATGGACTGTTGTCTTTTTTTCAGCCAGACTAACTATGTAACTGTGTCCGTTTACACCTGCCAATCTCCGATTCAATCCTGTCCGCTAAAAACAGACAGATGGGGATCTATACCCAATCCGTCTAGTGGATTGGCTTAAATAGCTGTTGGGTGTAAATGAACAGGTGGTCCGTTTACATCTGACCACCCCATAAAGAACAGCCGGCTGTGCCCATGTCCGCTCTGCAAAAGTGACGGTCATTCATCTCCACAGGAGGGATCAAGGGACAGATTACCCACTGAGCAGATGGATCCGCTTGGCAGAGTGCACCCTCGAGAAAGGAGCCTAAACGAAGAAAGCTTTCAGAAACAGGAGTGTTGGTTTATTTTTATCAGTTAAAAAAATGGAAATTAAATGAACAGGAGAATCAATATTTGGGGTGACCAACATTTGCCTTTTTCTGGATACACTTGTTGTTTTTGAAGGAACCCGGCAGGTAGGTTGTTCCAAACATCTTGGAGAACCAAGCACAGATTTTCTGTGGGTGTAGGCTGCCTCAGGCTCAAATCCTTCTGTTTTTCTTCATGTAAATCCCAGACGGACTCGATGATGCTGAGATCAGGGCTTTGTGGGGGCCAAACCATCACTTCCAGGACTCCTTGTTCTTTTTTTACGCTGAAGATAGTTCTTAATGACATTGGCTGTATGTTTGGGGTGGTTGTCCTGCTACAGAATACATTTGGGGCCAATTACACACCTCCCTGATGGTATATCACAATGGATAAGTATCTGCCTGTACTTCTCACCATTGACCCTGACCAAATCTCCAACTTGCAAGGAAGCCCCAAACTTGCAAGGAACCTCCACCATGCTTCACTGTTGCTAGCAGACACTCGTACTGCTTTCCAGCCCTCTGGCAAACAAACTGCCTCCTGCAACAGCCAAATATTCCAGATTTTGACTCATCAGTCCAAAGTACCTGCTGCCATTTTTCTGCACCCCAGTTGCTATGTTTTCCTGCATAGTTGAGTCGCTTAGCCTTGTTTCCACATCAGAGGTTGAGCTTTTTCTTCCATGAAGACCACTTCTGGCCAGACTTCTCTAGATAGTAGATGGGTGTACCCGGAGTCTCACTGGTTTCCGCCAGTTCTGTGCTGGATATCTTCCAATGTGGAAGCGAAGTAAGCATGTTGTGTCCTTCATCCACTACATTTGCTTGGCTGACCACTGTATCTACAGTCCACAAAGCTGCCCATTTCTTTCTGCTTCTTCAGAAGAGTTCAATTGATTGAACTGATGCTGGTTTGAAGCCAAAGGGTAGTCACTCCAAATATAGATTTGATTTAGAGGATTCTTTTTTAAAGCAAAACCCCACCTTTTAAAATTATCACCGAAATAAAATGGCCCAAAAAGTTTTCTTTGCAAATACTGTGTTGCTGTTCCTCTTCTGAGTAGATCGACTGCCAGTGTCATCCAACCAACTTCCTGTGAGCCCAGGCTGTTTGGAATTCATCCTCTCCAGTGGCACGGTATGGCGCAATTCCATCTACCAGAGGGAGCTCGATTCATCGCCATGCATAGATCATAGTGATGTATATAGCCTGCTTGGCCGGACGGCAGGTGATGTGTGGATGCAAGACAGATATTATCCCTCTAATTGGCAGTTTATCACCACCCTGCCGGAGAAATTAATAAGCCTGTGATCTGCAGAGGCAGCAGAATGTGGAGAAGCCATTAATCTGAGACATGTCCACGCGGAAAAACAGAGAAGGAGGTAGTTCACCAGAGATATTAGGTATGGGATAGAGACACAGTGATCAATAATTCCCCCGATAACAAACATATGACAATATTAATCAGCATTTATCTCTGACCAACACAAAAGATAACGTCAGAGAGAACTTGGTCTCAAAGTGTTTTTTTTTTTTCCCCGAAGTCCACTGGGACTCTTAAAGCTAAACTCCAGGATAAGCAATTATTGTCTAAATACAAGAGGGATGTGAAGTCTTAATCTGCGTAGTAATCCAGTGTGAAATTTTGCCTCTGTGCGGGAGCTTCCTGTAATAAAGACCAGTCACTACTCCGCTCTCCTTGTGCAGGGTGACTGGTCTCCTCTCCGCCCCCTCCTGCAGAAAGTGTAGTGGGTGGGAGCGGCTGGGCCCCTCCCACTACTCTGCTGACTCTTTGTACAGGGTGACTGGTCTCGTTTCTGCCTCCTTTCTATAGTCAGCTTGTAGTGGGTGGACCTACGGAGCACCCTCTCAGCAATTTTTTCTGTACAGGCTATCCATGGAACAGTGATGATGTCACTACTATTTTACAAGGTGATATTTGGGGCTCCAAAGACAATTGATGCACACAAAGTAGATTTACATCCTTTTTGATAATGGAGAATCTATTTAAATGAAGGTTTTTGTATGCTGCCGTCATCTGCTCCTCTGGCCACTTTCAGGTGTCGGCTTTGCAGATTCTTGATTGGATGGTGTGGGAATGTCGTCATCCCATGCATGCGCATACTTACCTCCACCTTCCAACGATGCATCAGTTACATCACTCGCTTGCTGCTGTCATCTGCTCCTCTGTCCACTTTCACGAGTCGGCTTTGCAGATTCTTGATGTGATGGTGTGGGAATGATGTCATCCCATGCATTCACGTACTTACCTCCACCTTCCAAATGGAATGCACCAGTTACATCCCTCGCTTGCTGCTGTCATCTGCTCTTCTGGCCACTTTCAGGTGTCAGGTTTGCAGATTCTTGATTGGATGGTGTGGGAATGTCGTCATCACATGCATGCGCATACTTACCTCCACCTTCCAACGATGCATCAGTTACATCACTCGCTTGCTGCTGTCATCTGCTCCTCTGGCCACTTTCAGATGTCGGCTTTGTGGATTCTTGATTGGATGGTGTGGGAATGTCATCATCCCATGCATTCGCGTACTTATCTCCACCTTCCAACTGAATGCATCAGTTACATCACTCGCTTGCTGCTGTCATCTGCTCCTCTGGCCACTTTCAGATGTCGGCTTTGCGGATTCTTGATTGGATGGTGTGGGAATGTCATCATCCCATGCATTCGCGTACTTATCTCCACCTTCCAACTGAATGCATCAGTTACATCACTCGTTTGCTGCTGTCATCTGCTCTTCTGGCCACTTTCAGGTGTTGGGTTTGCGGATTCTTGATTGGATGGTGTGGGAATGTCATCCCATGCATGCGCACAGGAGTCAGCCATTCCGGCACAGCCAGGATGCATGCTGAGCTGCGCATGCACAGCTTAGTGTACATTCAACAGAAGACAGCAAGCAGAAAGGTGTTATTGCCTAAGAAACATAGCTTGTCCTTTCCTGCTTGCAGTATTTAAGTATAGTTCCACTTTAAGAAGTATGCCCCAGAGCCTTCCTGCAACAGAGATGTTAAAGAAGAATTCCATTGTAAATATAAAAGTAATGTTCTCTGAACAGCCATTCAGCAAGGGTGCTAATGGCACTGCCTGACAGACTCTAAAGCAGGGTTTCTCAACCAGGGTTCAGTGGAACCTTAGGGTTCCTCTAGAGGTTCCTTGAGATATTTCTGTCTCTCAGATAAGGTCCCACTGACACCATTGGTCTTTTTAGCCATCTGTAAGGGAGTCATTCATCCCAACAACCTCAAGCATAAGAAGCCTCATTCCCACTGACCATCACACTAATGTATCATGAGTTGTAGATCTAGTCATTTTTAGCAGGGGTTCCCCAAGACTGAAAATTATTTCATGGGTTCCTCCGTGTTGAAAAGGTTGAGAAAGGCTACTATAAAGCAATATAAGTTAGTCAATTGTGTGAACTCGAATGATCCACCCAATTACAGTTATAGTCTTCTGGCTCTTTAGATGTCCTGTGGACTGAAATGGTAAGATCTCCATGCCCTGTTGTCCTCTTCCACGTTCCATGAGGAAAAACAGAATATACTGAAGCTATGTGCATTTTCATTGGGCAAATATTGTGCTTACTTTATAGTGGTTGTAAAACCTCACATATACCCAGTGAAGTGACTGGCCTCTGGTGATACACAGAGATTAAACAAATCTTCCTACATAAGTTGTACCTGTTTATCAGCAGTCTTCTCTTCATCCATTCAAAG